TATTCTATTCTATTCTATTCTATTCTATTCTATTCTATTCTATTCTATTCTATTCTATTCTATTCTATTCTACTATATTCTATATTCTATATTCTATATTCCATATTCCATTCCATTCCATAACATTGTAACAGAAGGAGCAGCATGGTGGCCTAGAGGTGGAGCTCTCATCTCACAATCAAAAGGCTGTGCGTTCAATCCTAGGTAGTGGCAGATATTTCTCTCTCTGGGGGCAAAGAGAAATTATCTGCTGCAAATTCTCCATATGGGTCAGGAAGGGCATCCAGTCAGTAAATGCTCAGCTCAGTCAGCCTGACTCCACCCCAATGCAAGAGATCACAGGACTGTTAAAAAGAAAAATACATCGCAACAGAAGAGCATCTGTATCTATGGCTCAAGGTTAAACTGTGGATCTTTGGGGCTCTCTGAGCTTGGAGTTTTTTGGGGGGAAGACATTTCATTGTCTAATCAGGTAACATCATCAATTGAATATGGGATTTGCTCTCCTTTTTAAAAAATATAGGGGGATTTTTCTCCCTGGTAGTTTCTTAATTAGAATATTATTTTTTGTCTGTTAAATGTCAAATATTAATCCCTGCTTATGTAGCTACCGGCTACTGGAGGGGACATATTCTAGTCTTTCCCTCTTAGCTTTTTTATACTCTCTTTTGAATGGTGTGTAAATGTGATTCACTTCTCTATGTCTGTTGATGGCTAATTTAGCATGCTGGAATTCCCTAGCATTTCTGGATTTAGCTTGGTCTAGGATTTTATTCATATACTTATTAAATTTATTTGCCACCCATCTCGCTGTCCTGCTCACAGTTTCTCGATTGAATCTTAGTTGCGGAATGAACATCTGCAAGCGAATAACCAAGCTCAGAGAGCACCAAAGACCCTGTATTTTTGTATGTATGTAGGGCGTGGGGGGGGGATTAGTATTTATTTTGTGCTGATGTTGTTTGCCATCTAGAGCCTCTGGCAATGAGAGAGAGTGTGTGTGTGTGTGTGTGTATGAAAGGGAGAGAGGGGGGAGGGAGGGGGAGGGGGGAGAGAGACAGATACAGACACAGAGGGAGAGAGACACACACAGAGACAGAGAGACAGAGAGACACACACACACAGACAGAGAGACACACAGACAGAGAGATAGACAGAGGGGGGAGAGGAAGGTGGGAGAGTGACAGAGACAGACAGATAGAAAGAGACAGAAGGAGAGAGACAGAACACACAGAGAGACACAGAAAGTGAGACAGAGAGACAGAAAGACACACACATACACACACAGAGAGACACAGAGAGAGGGAGAGAGAGAGACAGACAGAGAGATAGATAGACAGACACCGGAGACAGAGATAGAGAGAGGAAGAGGAAGGGGGAGAGACAGAGACAGACAGACAGAAAGTGACAGAGGGAGAGAGACAGAACACACAGAAAGACACAGAAAGTGAGAGAAAGAGACAAAGAGGCAGAAAGACACACACAGACACACACACACACACACAGAGGGAGGGGGAAGAGAGAAACAGACAAAGAGAGACAGAGATAAAGAGAGGGAGGGGGAGAGATAGATAGAGAGACAGAGAGAGAGAAAGAGAGGAAGGGGGAGAGACAGAGAGGGGAGGAGAGGGAAGTGACAGAGATAGATGAGGGGGATGGGGGGGCAGAGAAAGACTCACTGACCCTCAAAGGACCCCAAAGGTTGGGCAATCCTAGTGTAATTATTCACTGACCTGAACAGACAAGGTGCTAACCACCTTCTGATCAGCAGCGGGATTCTTGCATTCCAAATCGCTGCTCTTATTAGGGATCATGTGATCCAGGTCCCCATTCTGCAGTTTTTCAGTCACGCCTTCTTCCTGGTCCTTTTTAGAAGGGAGGGACTCGCTGCTGTAGTGGCTGTGTCCATGAAGGTGCTGGGGAAATAAAAGAGACAACTTCACCAAAGAAACCACCAGACCCATGTTTTTATCTGGTATACTTTTGTCCTGCCTTTCTGTGTCAACCTAATGATTATTTCAATGATCATTAAATATATGAATGAATGTAATAATATCTATGGAAGGCGATTTGAAGGACCACTCAAAACACTTGGCACCCACCTCTCTCCTAGAAAGTAAAATATTTAGGAAATATTAAAAAGGTGGAATATTATATTTCCCTGGATGAGAAAAGGAGAAACATGTTTTAAAAACAAAGCAGCTCCCTGCAGCTTCCTTTTTTTCTTGTGCTAGTCAGGCTGTTGGCTGTTTTCTGCAAAGAGGTAAGTCAATAACTGTAAATGCCTATAGAATGTTCAAATTATTAGACTTATTTTTTAAAGACTGCTTTATTGTTCTAGACAACTTAACAAAATGAAAAATCTTTTTAAAATAAACGCTTGATCTGAAGAGGCCCAGTGCTATTGTATCTTCTTTTAAATTGCAGAGAATAACTATATTTCCAGAAAGCCACATCAATTTTAACAGCATCTGTACAAGTATAGTCTGAAATATAACACCACAAACAGTGTATATTGTCTGTACTGTTTGCTGTTTGTTGCAAGGAGGCAAATTGCTGGGAGGTAGAGGCAGATTTTTTCCCCCTGTTTTCCTCCCCAAAAGCTAGGTGCATCTTATACTTCAGTGCGTCTTATACTCTGAAAAATGCAGTATATAGGAGTTCTTAATGTTAACCAGGTGTCATGCCTGCAAGCCATCTTTTCTTTTTGGACTTCAGGCCTGCCACACTGTATATCATGGGAAACTGGGAGGGTGGATTATATGGAGTTGGGTGATGTAGCCATAACAACATTCTTCTTAGAAAGCTAAGGCTGACTTTGTCTCTGCACCTGGCCGGATGTCTTCGTGGCAGTGGAAGATTGGACCATGTGATGGACTTGTAGGTGTGGGGGCAAGATCTTGAACTTTCAACTGGGTGGGGAAACCAGGAAGTTTCAGATTCGGGTTTTCCCAGATGTGCCAACATGGCTCTTTTAATCAACTGGAACTTTGAGGAATCTCTTGCCTCGGACTCTGATTTTATGTCGGATGCTATTTGGAACCCCAACACCAGGCCGTTGAGTTGTACCTAGAAAACATGTGCTGGTCTTTTTAATACTGCATTAGGGTGACAAGATCATGACACCGTGATCGTATCATGACAAGTTAGCTGCCAGATTCCAACGAATGCTTCCAAAAGTTCTTCCAAGGTAAGGCTACAGGAAGGACATAGCAGTAATGGAGATGTAGTACAACCAAGAGAACTTTGGCCAGGTTGGTGTGACAGGAATTGCAACAACTTGCAAACAATGCATGAAATTCCCGGAGAGGAGCACTCCAGGTGCGCTTCTAAGGTACGATTTTAATCTCTTGGATTGAGCATTCTACAAAGGATACTGCCATCTAATTTGCATTGAACCCCAGTAGGTTCATCTCCATCTCCAGCTCACTATTGCACCTAAGAATAATTGAATGTTTTTAACCAGCAAATGTAAAGCCGAGTGATGACCTCTCTCAGAAGATTCATATACTGTAGATATTAGCTGCAGGGGCCCAGTGGTTAGAGTGCAGTACTGCAGGCTACTTTTGCTGGCTGCCAGCTGCCTGCAATTTGGCACTTTAAATCTCGCCAGGCTCAAGGTTGACTCAGCCTTCCATCCTTCCGAGGTGGGTAAAATGAGGACCCAGATTGTTGGGTGGGGGCAATATGCCGACTCTGTAAACTGCTTAGAGAGGGCTGCAAATCACTGTGAAGCAGTATATGTCTAAAGTGCTATTGCTACGTCTGCTGACTGCCGGCAGCTTGCAATTTGGCAGTTCGAATCTCACCAGGCTCAAGGTTGACTCAGCCTTTAAGCCTTCCGAGGTCAGAAAATGAGGACCCAGATTGTTGGGGGCAATAAGCTGACTCTGTAAACTGCTTAGAGAGGGCTGTAAAGCACTGCAAAGCAGTATCTAAGTCTAAATGCTATTGCTGTTAAAAAAAACAAGAAACGGGAGAAAGCTATCATGATATTATAGGTTAAAAGTCTTAGGATACAACATCCCCTTGAGTGTCATCTTTCTAGATACGATCCACCAGAATGGATCTGAATTACTGGTATTGAATCCCATCCCAGCAGTCCAAGATCATAGATCAGCTGATGGCATCCAAATCACGAGTTCCAAAGTCTTCTTCTCACTAAGCTCTTGCCTATCAGGAGGTCGATCAAAAAAATCTCCATCCCATATCATTCATTATTAGGTCTATTAGACAAGTTTCAACCAGATAAAAGTGACTTGCTATTCATTATGGGACACCACATTTTACCCATTATTATAATCCTTCCATTACTATAGGGGTTTTTTTTAGCTTCACAGTTATTGCCATATTTGTATTTGTCAAAAACTGCTCTACGGCAGATGTTTCGCAACATTTCCAGGCTATGCAACGTAATGCATAGTGCCTGACAATCCGCAAAAGGTCATAATCATTAAGTGCTCCGATTCATTTGTTAAAAGGAATCTTGTCCAAAAACGTCTTTCCGAAAGTTCATGTAAGCAATCCTATTGGGCACTTTCTGAACCTATGTGTACATTGGAACAGGCAACAATTCTTTTCTCAGATATGATTTTCCTTTGTCCTTCTTTATTGACTGTTCCTTCCAATATCTACTCCATCATTTGCTCAGCTGTTTTAATTCTGACGTGTTCTACCCTTGTTTTTTTACCTGTGATCAGTAATGAAAACTTTGAAAAGGGGAGAAACAGGGAATTCCAACAAGCAGGCAGAATCTATTTCATATTCTGCACAAAATATATCCCATATTAAAACTGGAAAGGAAACTCCAGATGTATTTTTTACTATTGTTCTATTGTAATTGGTATTAAGATAATGGGATTAAACTTTCAGAAATTTTTTGAGGGTGTAATCAAAATACAATTACAAAAACTTCCATGAAAAATAATGGTAGGCAGGTTCATTGGTTTCTTCAAATGTTTATTACAACCTTTCCAGAAAATACGCCAGAGCAGATACTATTTGTGGCCCGCCAGCAGCCAGCGGAGCTGGCAGCAGATTCGGACAGTGAGGAGGTTGGGGAGGAACATGGACCAGTCCTGGATTCTGGGGAAGACTCTGATGAGGGCTCTGTGTCAGAGGCAGAGGGGGGGCTGAGGCCATCTGGCAGTTCTCAGCTGCCTTCAGAGTCAGATATCAGTGGGGCAGATGAACAGCTGGAGCCTGTTCCCAGTGTGCGAATGCACAGAGTTACCAGACGAAGGGAACAACTAAAGAACAGGGGTAGACGTGGGAGTAAGGCCACAGGTGGACGGAGAATGGCCCTTCCCATAGGGCATAAAAGAGGAGCAAAAGGGAAGTGGAGTTTGCAGGAGACAATTAGTTCAAGTCATTAGGGTGAAGATCTGTTCCTGACTTCTTGCCAAGTACTGGCTGCTACAGCATGGCATTCGGAAGATATCGGCCTGGCAGCTCTCCAAGCCTGATAAAGGTCTGTAGCTGTGAAATCTCATGAAAGACTGTTGCCCGGGACTTTGCTGTAGAGGAATTCCCTTTAACCCAAATAAAAGGGGTTTTATCGGGACGAGGCGTCAGCTTCGTGCTTTTGGGAAGCTAAGTCCGAACAGATACCTTCTCTGAAAAAAAAGTTGACTGCATACTTAATCAATGTTTTTCAAGCTTGGGACCTTTAAGACAGGATGGACTTCAATTCCCAGAATTCCCCAATCAGCCATTTAACCAGGTTGGCTGGGGAATTCTGGGGGATGAAGTCCACCCATCTTAAAGTTGCCAAGTTTGAGAAACCCTGTGATAGATCCTAAATAAAACATGTAATCAAGGAAAGAGTGGAACTATCCTAGGATAAATGCTATAGCAGCAAAGCCAAAAGAGAACCAGTTGTTGTCCTACACAAAAACTCCAGAACACACTGTAACAAACAGGGATCTCTCCCATGGACATTTTATCAGACATTTTTTTAAAAATAGTTTGCAAACCATCTTTGATAATCTGGCAGAATTTCTGCTCCTAATATATTTGGAAGAAATTGCAAATCTTTAGTTCCTTATTACTTGGTTATATCTGATGCTTGTGAAAGGGGGTGGGTGGGACTAGGGGGGCATGATAGTATTTAAGAGGTTGCCACAAAGAGGTGGGGGTCAATTTATTCTCCAAAGCACCAGAGGGCAGGACAAGAAACAATAGATGGAAACTAATCAAGGAGAGAAACAACCTGGAATCAAGAAGAAACTTCCTATCAGTGAGGACAATTCACCAGTGGAACAGCTTGCCACCAGAAATCATGGGTACTTCATCACTGGAGGTTTTTAAGAAGAGACGGGACAGTCACTTTTCTGAAATGGTATAGGTTTTCCAGCTTGAGCAGGGGGTTGGACTAGAAGACCTCCAAGGTCTCTTCTAGCTCTATTCTGATTGATTGATTGAAAATGCAATTAAGTTCAAAAAGAAAAGGAACTAAAGATTGCATCAGGAACAATTGAGGCTTACCTGATCCTTCTGTTTGAGGAGCATCTTCAGTATTTTCTCAGTGAAAAAAAAGAGGTAAAATCCCCCAAAGACAACTGCAGATTTAGAGACATAATCATCTTTCTGTGGATTGAAGCCAAAGGCCTGGAGGAGATGGGGAGATAAGGAGTTAGCTATCAAAAGCATAAATAAATAAATAAATAAATAAATAAATAAATAAATAAATAAATAAATAAATAAATATTACCCTCCTTTCTATCTAAAGCTCTCTCTTCTTTTCTTCTCACCTCTAGGTAAAGGTAAGGTAAAGTTCCCCTTGCACATATGTGCTAGTTGTTCCCGACTCTAGGGGGCGGTGCTCATCTCCGTTTCAAAGGAGCCAGAGCTGTCTGAAGACGTCTCCGGAGTCAGAAATGCTGAAGGCGCATGGAACGCTGTTACCTTCCCACCAAAGGTGGTTCCTATTTTTCTACTTGCATTTTTTAAATGTTTTCGAACTGCTGGGTTGGCAGAAGCTGGGACAAGTAACGGGAGCTCACTCTGTTATGCGACGCTAGGGATTCGAACCTGCCAACCCTTCTGATTGACAAGCTCAGCGTCTTAGCC